TGCACCGATGGTGACGGTGTGCTCGTAGGTGCGTTACCTTGCGGTGCAGGTGAAGATGTGTTAACGCGTTTTTGCTCAATAGCATCTTCGACATCTGCACATAAATCGTAATACGCGTTTTCGAAATAAAGTTTTATTCTAGCGTGTTCTAAATCGAGGGTAGCGTCATCAAGAGCTTCAATCTGAGAATGGATTTCGTCAAACTGAGCCTTAATGCGTACAAAATCGCGCAATCTTACTCTTAGTCGAGAAGCGGATGTACTTAGATTGTTTGTTTCAAACCAAAACTTAAAACGCGATATTTCGTCGTGAATTCGATCTCTTTTTAAGAGTAAAATTTGTAAATTTGCTGCATCCTCTGGTGTAGGAGTCCGAAAATGTTTCGGCATTGTCGTCGCCTTCCGCGACTGCCATGTGTGGAGTATCGAAAATTTGCGAACGCGTCATAACCATTTGAAAAATCGATCAGTTGAAATACGTAAAACTGGTACAGTGCGGGCAAGGTAAATGGTACTTGCCAATGAAATTTAAATAAAATGACGTGCAATTACGGTCGAATGCGTGCTTGACCGGAAATAGATAAAGAAAAGGAATAGTTGGAACCTTAGATCATATAATAAATAGATACCACCATGCCGTGTTCTTTCCCTAGCAGAGCCTGTGACGACATCCTCCAGTCACACATCTCTCTCGTACATGAAGGGATTATACTATCCTCAAACATATTTGGCGTTTATGACTTCACACCAATTTGACTCCCATTATATTTCAATAGGCCGTCACAAACGGATGTCTTATACCCGCTCACCGATACCTACCTGAAAAGACCTTTTCTGGTAAAAGCACAGGGCAGGACTGAGTTTTGCATTTACCGACAACTGCGCCTTTCGAGTTTTTTATTTTAAGTAAAAACAAAGTAACTTTGTACTCAATCATTTTTTATTACAGCACAATTATTTACTTATTAACTACTACTGCTTATTTATTGATCGAAATAGTCACTGTCATCATCACTCGACTCTTCTAAATTAATAATTAACGGTGTTATCAACCGTGCCCTGTACTGGTCTTCTTCTTTTGTGGAATGTCGTACACAATTGGCCCACATTTCGGCAGTTATTTTGGAAGCTTCTTCCCTAATTATGTCAATTGTTGCACTATTAAATTTTGGTGCCGTATTATTCCTTCTTATATTATTTTTCATTTGCGACCAGATTAGTTCGATAGGGTTAAATATACAATGGTACGGCGGAAGTCTAATCACCCTAAATCCATGATCTCGCGTCATAGCATCTATTTTATATTGTTTCTCAAATTTTCGAGTGTGTAACACTTCTAATAATTGTGTCTTTGTGTAATTTTCTTCAAAGTATAAATCATGTTCTGTAAGGAAATTTTGAAATTTGAAAATTTTAACAAACAAAATTACTCTGAGTCCGGTCCTTCGCGTCTCGACCGTCCCTGGCACGTCGAAAAGGTCTTTTCAGGTAGGTATCGGTGAGCGGGTTTAAGACATCCGGTTGTGACGGCCTATTGAATTATAATGGGAGTCAAATTGGTGTGAAGTCATAAACGCCAAATATGTTTGAGGATAGTATACAATGAAGCTATCCTTGCCTGATCACTATTTGAATTTTGCGCGCCTAAATTTTAGGAAGTATGTCTGAACTAACTTCGTACGAAAGATGTTGACAGCTTGATTTTATAAATAATTCACAATAGATAATGAAAGGAATGGTAAATTATTGGGCAGCAATTGTGATCCTTTATGATTACATCACTTAAAATAGCATCTTTGTTCTAAATTCTAAAATTGTTTTTTGTACAACAACTCGAAAGAGAGGTTAGAAGAAACATCTGTCAAAAGCGATTTGTTGCGCTGGTGCGGTACAAGGATGGAAGTGAAATAGACATATACAGATGAAATGCATATAACAAAGATGAAGATGTGGTGATCACACAAGGATAGCATTATACTACTCCTCTTGACGTAGAAAACGACAACAGATAGCTTCATGTCTAGTCACAGCTTTCAGTTTGAGTATTGGTATCTATTTATTATATGATCTAAGGTTGGAACCCACTCACCGGGCACCTGGGACGGCTAGACTGATTCGCTGTTCTCCTGTCCGGTAGGGAACTTACAATGGCTGGATCCCGTCTCCCGATGCAGGCGTCGAAAATTGTCAAAACCGTGATAAGATCACCTGGAGCCTGGGTGATTGATTGGATGGACTGAATTCGCTTCTCTCCTGCTCAGTAGGGAACTCCGGCGGCCGGTAGGTCACGTCTCCCGATACAGGCGTCGAAAATTACCAAAAACGTGATAAGGTCACTTGGAACCTTGGATGAAACGACTGTATGGGCTGGATTCGCTGCTCTCCTGTCCGGTAGGGAACTCCGACGGCCGGTAGGTCACGTCTCCCGATATAGGCGTCGAAAATTACCAAAAACGTGATAAGGTCACTTGGAACCTTGGATGAAACGACTGGATGGGCTGGATTCGCTGCTCTCGTGTCCGGTAGGGAACTCCGATGGCCGGTAGATCACGTCTCCCGATACAGGCGTCGAAAAATGGCACCACCGCATTTTATTGTTGAATTCACAGCACTGGATCACACATGTCGAGAGATCCGGCTCGAAGGACCAATGTTGGATGTATGATTATTACTCATACATACGTACCGAAAAGATTATATCAATCTTTGTATCAAATGAAACAGAAATATGTGCTGTGTAACACTGTATTTACTTGTTGTTGACAGTTCGAAGTCTATGTACAAAGTGTGTAAATTCGGAGGAGATTCATTGCAGGTAGAAGAGAAAGTGGGGACGCTTGTGACAAGGGTTGGTGGGTAAAACCGTAACCCGAACATTATTTGTGTCGAAGAGCATTAATACCAAGTTTCACGTAAAAATTTAAATACATATACAATAGAAATATTCCCACACAAATCTAGCCACCATATTTCACCCCCTTAGGGGTTGAATGTGGAAAAATGGTTAAATACGTGTTTCATTATTTGTGTCGAAGAGCATTAATACCAAGTTTCACGTAAAAATTTAAATATAAAATAGAAATACTTTCCCATACAAATTTAGCCTCTACATTTCACCCTCTTAGGGGTTGAATTTTAGAAAATGCTTAAAAACGGGTTTCATTATTTGTGTTGAAGAACATTAATACCAAGTTTCACGTAAAAATTTCAATTTATAGTAGAAATATTGTTCCTATACAAACTCGGCCGCCCAAACTTAGACACCACTTTTCATCCCCTTAAGAGTCGAATCTCCAAAAATGCTTAAATACGTATTTCCTTATTTGTATTGCAGAGAATTAAAATGTACCAGGTTTCACGTAACGATCTAAATTTACAGTAGATATATTGGTCCTAAACAAATTTTATCACCCCTTTTTAATCCCCTTAGGGGATGAATTTCGAGAAATCGCTTCTTAAACGATGCCTCCAGTATAAAATGAACATTCTCTCCAAATTTCAACTTTCTATCGTTAGCGGTTTGGGCTGGGCGTTGATAGGTCAGTCGGGACATTGCCTTTTATATATAAAAATTAGGGATGTACCGACTGTAGGTCTGGCCGACTAACCGACTAGCCGATTGTTCGGCCAGTAAAGACCGACTAGTCGGTCGACTGTTCGGCTTTGCTAAAACTGGTTTATAAATGCGACAGACAGTGTTTATTTATATTTCTCTGACTACCTTAAAAATTTTTTTTATTTTAATAAAAGTTCCTTTGTTTTCCAAAAAATGTGTTAAATTTGTTTGGATAATTTTAACATTTTTTTTTGTAGTAACTCAGTACAAAAATAAAGAATAACAAAATTTTGGGCCAGTTTATACAATATTTTAACTGAGATTAAGTTGATCACGCGTTTAATAAGGCCATTAGCGACGTCTGATTGGCCTAAAGTCGGTCACATGGTACTTTAACGCCGTGTTAAAAATTAAATCGCAATTACACGGTCTAGGACAATTCGGCGCGGCCGACTTAGCACGGCCGACTTGGCGCGAGACATTTTGACGCAGGGACACTTTGGCGCAAGCCATCTTGGCGCGGGCCATCTTGGCGCGAATGAACTCGCACCAAAAAAATAGATATAAATATACAAAAATTGCACCCGTTGTTAGCATAACCTAATTTTTATAGTCTCCAACGCGTGGAGGGGTAATGTCGACTTTTTAATAGACACACGGGCGCTTCGCGCCCTGCACCCCATTATAAACATACTCCTAAACGTGGAACTTCTTGCTCCGTGGATCATTTAGTTATTGGAAATTGTGCGAATGAACTGTATATTTGGTTGCCTACATACCATAAATAACAGGGTGCCAACCACAGTACGAAAAAAAAATATTTTTTATATTATATACCAACGTACTCGCGCCAAGATGGCTTGCGCCAAAGTGTCCCTGCGCCAAAATGGCTCGCGCCAAGTCGGCCGCGCCAAATAGTCCCATTCCGGCAATTACATATTTAATTCAGGTTCTGTAAACCGGGTTTAATTGTATTATATACTATTTTAATTTTAATAAAAAAAGCCGACCGATCGGGCAGTCGCCGACAGCCTGCCGACGATGAAAAACGGTCGAATAGTCGGCTTATCCGACCGGTAGGCCACTAGTCGGTACATCCCTGTAAAATACGTATTATTATAAAAATTTACCGTTACAAACTTAAATATCATGAAAAGTTATCCATGTTTCGTAATATTAGTTAAGCTGTTGTAGAATGTTAAAATTTAATAGTGACAAAATTTAAATTGTACAATAGGTAACAAATTAGTAAAAATAAGTTTCATTCTGGCACATAACCACTAAATTTTGTAGCCTTGATAAAGGATAAAGTTCAATGTCCGAAACGCCGGTAATATTGCAAAAAATTCTTATTAATGTCCGATTTCCCACTTTCTCTTTTTAACTTATCTACATATGCGAACATCTTTGTATGGTTATTGACTTTATTTAATAATTATTCTTACCTTTCTGACGATCATATGCATTTATGCATTCAGAAGTCATAAACTGACTAATTAAGGTTGTTTTGCCAACTCCCTGGGCACCAAGCAATGCAACTAAATAACTCGAAACAGGCACATTTGGTGGTTCAGACTCATTCAGAAGAAATGAAGATGTTCCAGTTCCAGAAACTGGAGGACACAAACTGTTACTTCGTGAACGTCGTCTTCTAAATGAATCTCCTCTATTCACTATTCCTGAAAATAAAACTGCTACTAAAATCATAGCAATACAATGCCTGCAAAATAAAATATGTAGATTCCTAAAAATATTATTCCATTCTAGTTTTAGATTTTCTCCTGCTATAAGCTAAAATTTATTTGCATCAAAAAATTAATCTATAAAAAATAATATCTAATTTTAATTAAATGTGCAATTACTTACTATAAATTATGTTTATTGTTATTTTAGTACATATTTAACAACCGTATTTGTTTACGTATAGATTCATTATAGTTTATTTAGTGTATTTTACTTTTTTTAGTTTATCATGTATACACTGTGTTTTTACTCTGAGAATATAATTCATGTATCACATGACCCCATTTCTTCCAATAGGATTTATTAATGCTCTTAATTACATGTCTATCACAGCGATAATAATTCTGTTACCTTATTGTGGTCTGCTGCTACCTAAATTTAAAGACACTGCCTCCGCTGCCGGCGCTGGTTGCCGTACCGGATGCCGGCAGCTCCGGTTATCATAACGGGTGTATAGTATATTTGAATGGAAACCGGCACTAGTAAAGTAAAATATATTTAAAAAAAATCGTTTACTGACGCTACAAAATGTGTTAAATAAAATAATAGAAATAAAAATAAATTCTCATAAAACAGTAATAAAATAGCAAGAATAATATATATAAAAAGAAGAATTTTAAAAGTGATCAACGTCTTTTTTTTCTATTTTTTCTTTGCAAGCCAAATACAGTGTTGCCGATTCCCTTGGGACATCCTCTTTTTTTAATTTTAGATGGCAATCTGATTTTGTTGAGCTGAACTTCTTCACCACATGTAGTATAGTGTCAATAAAATGAGTAGGGAAAATTGTTAACGTAAGGAATATATATAAGAGGTGATTGTACAGTTGGATAGTGTGGGTTAAGTAGTGTTAGAATAAAGTTCTAGAAACGCAACCTGCGTTTCTGTGACCCTTCCCCCGTACTCAGTACCTAAATGTAAGCAGAAAACAAATATAACAACGACATTTAAAAGTTGGATATTACATGGCGATCCTGCCAGGATCCAGGATTCCAGGATAATTGAAACTGAAACCCGTTGTCAGAGGAAAATAAGACATGGGCAGTAAAACGTCGAAAGAAGAAGTCATAATTGCGCAAACAGCAAGCGGGGATGCGACCATAACGAAGACGGATTGGATCTTAATCTGTTTGACGGTTGTGTTGGTAATTTTATTACTATGGCTGGGAATCAAAAAGTGTAAGAAAATGCTAAGAAAAGTGGTACGTCAAGAAATCCATAAGAATGAATTGGAGCATTCCAGGGACGCTACTACAGAGGCATAGTGATGTAGTGTTACAGTGCAGTGATTGAATGGAAAGTGAAAATCAAGTTAAGTTTTAATCTATTGAAAGTGGGAAAAGTGGTTAAGTTCGTGAAATTGCGCATAAGGTATTGTAACAGGTTTTCAAAAAGGAAATATGTCGGGTTAACATCGGTCAAAGGAAGTGCAAAGTACATTTTCACTCGTAGGAAATGAAAATTGGAACTTCAGCAAATTAACTAGTTATTGCATCGAGAATTTTTTTTTGCATGTTAGATATAAAACTTGGGTTCATTGTTATTGCTGATCGTTGTAATTATTTGTTTGATTTATCGTAAAATGTTTGATATGATAATTTTGTATGAAAGGTTGAGAAACTGTTGATGGAGTTAAACTTAACGGGCATTCATAACAAATTAAAAGAGATAAGAACTTATTTAATAAAAATCGGTCGGGATAGGCGCACTATTGAGTGTGTAAATAGGAAGATAGATGAAGCAAATCAAATTTATAAATGTTTAGATCAGGTAAACAAGCAGGTTAAATTAGATGTAACAAATAAGGAGTATACTGACGAAGATATTAAAAAATTAAATGCACTAAATGGTGAGATACGAAAGATATACAAAGAAATTTTAAATTTTTCAAAAAGTACCAGTACGAGTGTCGGCTCCAAGATGGCATTTGATCTTAAAACGGCTGTTAGTCTATTACCTGTCATGAATGATGATGAGGCTGTAACAATGCAATTGATGGACGCAATAGAACTTTACGATACTATGTTAGAATCAACCGGTAAACCTTCTTTAATAAATTTTGTCTTGAAAACACGTCTTTCAGTTGGTGCGAAACTTAGACTTAAATCGAATTACGATAGTGTTGCTTTGCTCATATCGGATATGAAAACACATTTGATTACAAGGAAAAGCGATACCGCTTTGCAAACGAAATTAATGCGCGCCACACAAGGAAATAGATCCGTTTCAGATTTTGGTAAAGAAATAGAAGAAATATTTGTTAATCTTACTATATCACAAGCTAATGGCGAGTCGACAGCATTTAATATTTTAAAAGCAGTGAATGAAAAAAATGCTATTAAAAGATTCGCGGATGGCTTGCGTAATCAAAAATTAAGTACCATTGTTGCATCTAGAAATTTTTCATCTCTTAAAGACGCGATTCAAGTAGCGCAGGATGAAGAAATATCACGCTTCGGTCCAGAAAATCAAATTATGACAGCAAATCACAATAAACGGAATTATAATAACGCTAGCAAGAAATATAAACCAAACCAAGGTTCGGATTATTCACATAAAAATTGGAACTATTCACACAAATTTCGTAGAGATAATAACGCAAATGGATCAAATTATGCAAGAGGGAATACATCAAACACAAATCGTAATTTTAATAGAAACAAATACTCAACAGGGAAAGTTTTTAATCATAACCATAACAACAATTCATTTCGTAAATACCAATCAAATAAACAAATTAATCATGTCCAAGAAACGACGAAACAAAACACAGAAGTAGAAACCCGTAACCACCAGTTTTTTCGAGAAAGTAATAATTAATGAAATTTGTGAATGCAATGGCACCTCATGGGTAAATTTTGGAGTAAACGATAATAATTTTAGTTTTTTAGTAGATACGGGAGCTTCATTGTGTGCTATTAAGCATGAATGTTTATCTAGCGATACTGAAATAATAAAAGAAAAATTGAAAATTAAGGGGATTACAGGTTATATTTTTTCAGAAGGGTACGTTCATTTAAAATTGAAATATAATGGAAAATATTTTGTTCAAAAATTTTATGTATTTAAAAATTTATCGTGTTCAACAAATGGCATTATAGGTAAAGATTTTCTGAAAAAGTTTAGAGGAGTTATTGATTTTGAAAAGGATACTTTACTTCTGTCACATTTTAATAAAGAAACTATAATACCGTTACGTTCTGATAATGATGATATTATTGCAATTCCACCGCGATGTGAGTTTGTTTTTTGGTTATCGACAAAAATTAAAGAAGATTGTGTTATTGTGTCAAAAGAATTATGTTCTGAAGTCTTTATTGCCAACAGTATTGTTAGACCAAAAAATGGTAAAATTCCGGTCAAAATTCTCAATACAAGAGAAACTGAAGTATGTTTGAAAAACTGTGTACCTGAGTTGCAAAGATTATGTGAATATAACATATGTAAATTTGAGAGAAATACAGTTCTGGCTGATAGAGTAGAAAATTTATTAAATTTGTTAAACTTAAAGTCGTTAAATCCACAACAACAGAAAACAATTGAAAATATTTGTGCTAAATACGCTGATATATTTCATTTACCAGAAGATAAATTATCGACTACTAATTTATATAAACAATCCATTAAACTGAAGGATAATACAAGTTCTATTTATGTCAAACCCTATAGGATTCCACAAACACAAAAACTAGAAATCGAAAAACAAATACGTAACATGTTAAAAGATGATATAATAGAAGAATCTAAAAGCGAATATTCGTCACCACTTCTTCTAGTTCCAAAGAAAAATGATAAAAATGGGGAAAAGAAATGGAGAGTAGTTATCGATTATAGGTTACTTAATCAAAAAATTGAGGACGATAAATTTCCCTTACCGAATATAACAGATATTTTAGATTCATTATCGGGAGCGATATATTTTTCTCATTTAGATCTGAGTCAGGGATACTATCAGGTAGAATTAGAACAACAAAGTCGACCTTATACAGCTTTTACTACAAACCAGGGGCAGTTTCAAATGAAAAGGTTGCCGATGGGTTTAAAAACAAGTCCCAGAGCTTTTTCACGACTAATGACAATAGCAATGTCTGGTTTAAATTATGAAAAATGTTTTGTCTACCTAGATGATTTAATTGTATTTGGAAGAAGTCTACAAGATCACAATTCTAATTTAATTAAAGTATTTAACAGGCTTAGGAAAGTAAACTTGAAACTTAATCCAGTAAAATGTGAGTTTTTGAAGAAAGAGATTCTTTATTTGGGACATATTATTACATCGAATGGTATTTTACCTGATCCTAGTAAAACTAAAATATTAAATGAATATCCTATTCCGACAACAGTTGATGAAGTAAGACGATTCGTGGCATTTGCTAATTACTACAGAAAGTACATACCAAAATTTGCTGAAAGGGCAGCACCCTTAAATCAACTTTGTAAAAAAAATGTAACATTTGAATGGTCTAAATCTTGTCAACAAGCTTTTCTAAATCTTAAAAATGCTCTTACGAAACCTCCGGTATTGGATTATCCAGATTTTTCAGAAAAAAATGAGTTTATTTTACAAACTGATGCATCTGGGATAGCAGTTGGAGCTATTTTATCAAATCAAAATAGTAAACCAGTAGCTTACGCCAGTCGAGTTCTAAATAAAGCCGAATTGAATTACTCAACTATAGAAAAAGAGTTATTAGCTATAGTCTGGGGAGTGAAACATTTTCGACCATATCTGTATGGTAGACGGTTTAAAATTTTAACTGATCACAGACCACTGGTATATTTATTCAATCTTACCAATCCCTCTAGCAGATTAACTAAATTTAGATTATGTTTGGAAGAGTATGATTTTGTTGTCGAGTATGTGAAAGGAGCAGATAATGTCTCTGCAGATGCTTTATCACGAGTGAGTGTGTCATCGAATGAATTGAAAAGTATG